TTGGTTGTGTTCGTAGTTTTTCTAGTTTTTCTAGTTTCTGCGGCAGCACGCCGGCCAACATGCCAACCTAGTTGCAAAGAGCCATAAACTGACAAACCACCAGCCACGGCCACGCCCCAAGCCACAGGCAAAGCTTACGTATCCTTGCGATGCAAGCAGTCACCGCTGCCTACAGCACAAGGTCAAGGCAGCATCGTAGGCGCAGGTGACTGTTGGACCTGTGCAGCTGTGAAGAAGTTTCTGCGCGCTCAACCAAGACTCCCAGCTCGCTGCGGCACACAGCTGCTTGTCTGACATTTTGTGAGGGGAGGAATACGCACTGTTATGCAGTGGGGTGTGGCTAGCGCAGCAAACAGTGCCTCGTCACACATTGATAACTTTGGTTGCGCATTTATTATTCAAAGCCCAATCACCTGCAGCAGGAAATTGAGGTGTTCCAGGGGCAGGCTTGATTTGCGCATAGACCACAATTCCATGCGCCAGAAGCCCCCAAAAACCAGAAGCCCCCAAAAACCAGAAGCCCCCAAAGCCAGCTGGAGCCCAGGTGCAGCCATCACCAAGGCCAACAACACACACCATGTGTTGGCCGACACAAAGATCACTCCGGTCACTAACAGGCTTGGAGGCCCCAAGCCCGCATGCAGACCGTCCCCAGCGGCGGCCCTCTAAACGCATAGCCTAGGGAGCTGCTCCTGTCAACAGCCGTATGGCCCTGGAGCAGCTCCCAGAGGCGGCTTGGTCAGCGTGCTGCACAGGACGTGCAAGCTGGCAGGCCCGCGCCACCACACAAGCCGCACGGCCGCACATGCTGAGAGCACCGGCGGGCGGCTGTGCGCGTACGAACAGCCCCTGGTTGGATCGCTGCTGCTTATCAATGCAACATGCGCTCTGTGGCCTGGCTACGAAGGTGCGGCTGCCAAGGAGCCGAGTGCGCTGACAGGTGATGTCGCGCGTGGCGCTGACAAAGCTGCCTTCCCGTGGGCGTGCTGCCAGCGCTGGTGACGCATGCATCCACACAGCACAGCCATGCTCGGTGACTGTTGATGAGCCACCGCTTTGCATCTCCGACCTCTTGATTGCGCACCACCATCAGCACAACGTGCCCGGTGAGCAGCTGCCGCTGCACCTGTCAGCCGCCGCCTTACATCAAACCACTCTCTGCTGTGCGACAATGTTACAGTGCCACGAACGGGAGCGTCTCCGACGTGCGTCTTTGAACAAGCGATGCCGGCAAGTGTGAGCAATGCCCAGGCGGCTCGGCAGAGGCATGCAGGCTGCCAGCCGCAGCCAGCACCTGTGCCGGGCGCCCGACGCCGCGCTGCGCGTGCCGGCAAGCAGCGCGCCGCGGCACAACGAACAGAGAAGCAATCAGGGGCTGGGAGGGGAAGCCAGGGGCCGCCGCGCGCGCCGCGGGGCTGTGCGCGCCTGAAGAAAGCCCCACGCAACGGGAGGGGGCGCACACACGCTGCCGGCCGCGTCGCGCCACGCGGGCTGCAGGCACGGGCGCGGCCTACAAAGCTCGATGTGCTTTGAGTGAGGGTTCTGTCTGTACACGCGCAAAAGTGGTGGGGAAAAAGAAAAAACAAGGCCGGTGTCAATAGGAGAGTTCCAATCAAAAAAGGCAAAGCGTCCAGGAGCCGCCCGCGCACGCGAGCGGCCGAGCGTGGGCCGGGGGCCACTCGTGCGCATCACAGGTGCTGCTGTCGCGGCCGTGGCGCGTGCGTTCTGTCTTTCTTCTGGGCCAACTGACGCTGGCGATGCATCGCACGCGCGCAAAGCATCCACTGGACAAAAAACCCAAACGTGCAATGGGCGCCGCCCGCCCGCCGGGCGGCTTCAAGGCACTCGCGAGGGTGTGGGGTGCAGGCCAGCAGCCGGCGCGTGCCGGGGCGATGCCAGCCGCGTAGCTGACTGGGCGCGACCGTGCCTAGGCGCCACCGTGCGCGCGCGGGCGGGGCGGCTCGGAGATGCGGCAGGGACAAGAAAGGGCTGTGGTTGTTTCTTGGGTTGAACGATTGGGAGCCACCAAGGGGCGGCATGAGGGGACGGGGCATAAACTGGCAGTCGACAGGCCTGCCCGCGGTGCGGGCGCACGGCCGCCTTGCCGAACGGCCGACGATTCTGGGCGCCGCGGCGGCCCGCGGCGCGCGCCCCGCGCCTGACGCCGCCTGGCAGCAGGCTGTACATTGGAGGCGCGGGGGCGAGCGCGGCGAAACGAGGCGCGGGCGCGGGCGCGTGCGGCGCGGAGGGCGCGCGCAAGGGCGCGGCGGGGGGGCGCCTGGCGGCGGCGGCGCACCGCTCAGGGCCTGGCAGAGGGGGCGGCAGTAAGTGTGTACGAGCTGCACTTTCCTGATACAAGACCACGATTTGAGGCCAAAGGGTGGCGGCAGCCGCCTCCACATACCCGATCCTGGGGGCGGGCCGCGCCACGCGAGCCCGCAGCAGGCAGGGGCGCGAAAGCCGCGCGACGCCGCGACGGCTGACGCATGGCATTGTGAGACCGATGCCTGGGGGTCACGAGCGGCCTCGCTGCATCTTGTACATAAATTGGTGCCACGGCCCCTGGTGATCTAGGATCTCAGGCCCAAGCCGGAGGAAGGTGAAGGCGCGCATAGCTGGCAGCACCACGCCGCCCGACCCCTGCTGCGAGGCGGCGCCGCTTCCGCCCTGCTGCCGCCACGGCTGCGGCAGCCGCCACCCGCCGCCCGCGGGCCGCTGCGGCAGCTGCGGCGAGGGCGGCGGCTGCGGCCACCACTGGGCACTGGACGCCTGCGGCTGCGGAGGCAGGGGCGCGGGCGAGGGCCCGCGGGACGGCGGCTGCTGCTGCGGGCAGTAGCCCGGGCCAGCCTGGACCGCCTCGCCCTGGCCATTGTACACGACATAGCCCACTTCGCTGTACGCGCGGTGCGCCGAGACGCCGCCCGCGGCGCCGCCGTACCCGTTGCCGCCCCCGGCCGCGTAGCCGCCGGCGCCGCCATACCACTCCTGCTGCGCCGCCGCTTCCGACGCGGCGCCGCCGGCGCTGGCGTACTGGCCGGGGTAGACCTGCTGCTGCTGCACCAACTGCTGCTCCCGCATCGGGGCGCACGGCCACGACGAGCACGGCCGCAGCGACCCGTACGCCCCAGCGCCTCCATACCCATTGTACCCGCAGCCGGCCCCGCCCTCACCGCCGCCGCCGTTGCCATTCCCGAAGCCGCCGCCGCCCGTTCCGCCGCCGCGCCCGCCGCCCGGCGGCAGCGTCCAGCTGCGCGTGTTGTCGACGATCCTGTCAAGCGCGGTCGCGTCGATGCCGCCGCCCACCAGGAAGATCCTCAGCGCGTTCTCCCCGGACAGGCAGACCCCCAGGCCGGCCGCGTTGGCGCGGATCTGCCGCAGCAGGCCCTCGGGCCCGCACTGCGCGTGGCGCGGGTGCTGCGCGTCGCACATCTCCACGCACGTGAGGGTCACGTTGGCGCCGTGGCGGGCGCACATCTCCAGCAGCGGCGTGTAGCCGTCGCGGGACGTCGTGTTGTAGTAGCCCGCGGTAAGCTCGCTGGCGTGGCTCGTGCTGTTATACCACCAGTGGACGCCAGCGACCTTGACTGTCAGAACGAGCCCCTCCGGCCGCCCGCACGCGCGGGCCGCGGCCGCGGCGGCAGCGGCGGCCGCGCCGGCGGCGGCGCTGCTGAGCGCCTGCAGCGCGTCGGCGCCCATCGAAGAGAGGCCGGATAGGAACTTTTCGAGGGGGTTCTGCTGCTCGGGCGGCTGCGGCGCGCCGCCGCCGCCGGCGCTGCCGCCGGCGAGGGCGGCGAGGCTGACGCCCTCGCGCTGCGCGCGCGTGATC